AGAGTGAACATTCGGAAGACAATTTAAAGAGATGAGGAATCATTCTTATGAAATAGTTTAATAGAAAAGTTACTCTGTAAAGAAACACTCAGAAAATACTGAAAAGTAGAGGAAATAGGCACAATAAATAACATGATGACTATAATAAATCAAAGAAAGCTGATAGCTTCATTTCTCTAAGTATTGCTATGTTCAAAAGTATAATCAGGAATGTAAACCAAATCATGTACCAACAATTGATAGTTGACATTTATTGGGGAATCCTAGCACTACAGTCAGTGTCAGTAGCACAGCAGTCAATTAATCACGAATATTTGAAAGCAATATTGACCAAGTTCTCATTTGATAAAACAGTAGCAAGGGTACAATTGTATACCATCTTATCTGGAAGTAAGGAATTCAAAAATAAGTAAGTATAGTGAAATCTATTTTAAGCAGTCACTCATGATTATATGAAAAATGACTGTAATTCGGGTGGCCGCTTAATGGAAGATACCAAAATACGGGACATTTTGGTGTTTGCAATTTGCGGTTAGTGTGCTTTGCTGGTTAAGATAGTGAAATATTATATGATTTTGTCAATATTCAATAAATTTTTAAACACGTTTTAATTACAATTCACCTTCACAATACCGGAAGCTTCTTCAGACATTCATTCTTAAACAACATGTATAAACATGTATTATTCAGTTCCCTATATTTGCATTCATCTCTTTCACACCACTGCATTGATGTGTCAGTTCACTGGTTGATTTTTCCATTTTTGGACTTAATTCCCAACAATATTTCAAGTGCTAAATAGTGAATAGCTTTTACAAGAAAAACAATATACACAAGTTCACACAGACCTGGAAGGGATATAGATCGATAATTGTCTACATAATTGCCAAAAAGAAACCAGTCAATTTAGTACATGAAAGAGTTTGTAGAGACAGTGATATCAACTCGGACCATTTCATATTAGTTGCAAAAATAATATTGTTAGCCAGATGGAGAAAAAAGAACAAACGACAACTGAAAAGAAATAAAGAAGTCTTTGAGGTGTATCTACTTCAGAATGATTCAATAAAATTCCTCAATCAGGAAAGGCTACAATATCACTTACAAAATATAATAACTGAAGAAAATATAAAGGATGAATGGAACAACATCAAAAATGTACAATACAAGCTGCAATTGAGGAATTAGAAAAAATTATGAATATAGACGAAAGAAAAGATTAAGGATTTAGAACAAAGGAGTTCAAACTCCTTAAAAAAGAGGACATATAAAGAATATCTGCAAAATAAAACGGAAGAAGCTACATTAAAATATAAATAAAAGCATTAGATTAATAACTAATACAGAACATGATATACATCACAGACAAGTTGAGGTATGGCATGCCTGTATGCTATAAACAAACAAGGCATTACATTACAAAGAATTAAGTACGGAACCAATGGTACAAGACAAACCAGAACCCAGAAACTCTAACAGCCAACTCTAGAAGTGGGGAAACATACAGCAATGGTCCATATCAAGGAGATGACATTACATTGGAAGAACTGCACAAATCACTTCAACAAATTACTCTTATATCTGATCAATAAACATAGGAAAATCCAAGAAATACCAACAACTTGGAAAACAGCAGAGGTCACATCACTGTTTAAAAAGGTAGAAAGTAATTTGTGTCCTTCTATAAACTATATACAAGAATTATTAACAACAGGCTCAAGAGAATTGCCGATGTTCTATTATTGGATGACTGTTCCATTCAATAATTAGGCAGCTCCGTGAGTAAAGAAGAGTTTAACTTACTTTAAGAAATACATAAACATTTTATAAATTATGAAAAAGCTTTTGATCAAGTCAATAGCAATGTACTCTAGAATATAGTAGAGAAAAGAGAATACCCTATGCATTTAATGAAAATAAAAAAATGTTTATATAAAAACACACAAATAGTGATCAGCATCGAAAAAGAAATGACAAATCAAATAAAAATTAATGGATGGAATCTACCCCCCAAAAGAAATGTAGTAATACTCTCAAAATGCAAAAATCAGAAAATTATATGCAAAATTCATTCTTTGCTTCAACCAATTTGTGTGAAGATTAGTTTTCAAATATCTTATAAAAGATGAATGTTAGGGCATATAAAGGAAAATATTCAGAGCATTCCAAAATAGTCATAAATTGAAATACATTACAACATGTATCTTATTTTAACTTCCTAGGTTGCACAAAAAGTCCAGTTTGCCGATGATCAAATAATTTTGGCCGAATCAGATGAACTCCAAATAGCAACACATGGCAATGATATTGGACTAAACTCACAGAATCTCCAACACAAAATTTTGAAATATAATAGAAAAAATGGAATAATTAAGACACTTTAGGAAGGACATTATACAAGACACCAAATTAAGAATACACAACATGACAGCCGAACCAAACCTACGGATCAGTAACCTGGATCTTAAAACAAAGAGACCACCAAAGACTGGAAGCAGCTCAAATGAGATTCCTAAGACACCTCCTTGGCTATACTAGACTGGATCAACAGGGAAATAAAGACATAAAGAAAAGACTGAAGACAACAAACATGACAGAGGACGTTAAAAAGAACCAGAAAAAATTGGCTGAAACATATTAAAGAATGAATGAAGGAAGATTCTCAAAGTCAGCCCTGAAATACAAGCCACTTGGAAAAGGAGAGATATAAGAATACCAGGAAAGAAGTGGTTCCTCGTGAGTGAACAAAGCCTATGGGCATCAATGAAAGAAAACAAAAATCTTGCCTTCTCATAGAAATTTTTAACATTTTCCTGGAGTCCAAATTCAAAAGTTCTTGGCTGTCTCCACTTGCAGAGAATGACATACTGCAACAGTTCTTTTATACTGCCAAGACTTGCGGATATATTTTCAGCTTGAGGTCAGTACCAGAAGTGAAAAGAAAACAGATGGAAAGGGAAGAAAATTATCAAAACAAGATAAAATTCTGAAAATAGGGATCAGAAGCTAAAATAGGCAAAAAATGAAAGTCACCTACAAAACAACAGCTACAAGATTTCTATAATTAAAAGTCTTAAAACCAATAATAACTAGTGATGTCACAGGATGGAACAGATTTACTCATACTATTTAGTTACCTTTTCTCTTTAGCTGAACTTACATTTAAGTTTTGCCCCACCCTCTTCCCAGCTGCCATCCATTGGTGTGAAAAAGACAATTTTCACTTTTTTCTCAATTTTTCATTTCCCAAATAGTAGAACTCCAATACAACTTTAAGAATATTATAGAATGGTTAAAGCTGGTTCTGTATGCAAATGTCTAATTTAAAAAAATCAAAATTTCATCAATAAATTTGAAAAGTTTTGGTTTTTGAGAAAATGTGGTTTGAGTTTTTCTGAAAATATGCAATTTTAAGCTCATTTTCAACAAAAGCTATTTAGTTTTTTAGAAACTTTGTGAGAAGCCCTTGTACTCACAAATGCAATGTTTAAAAAGGTAATATAAATATTAACTTGAGAGGTGTATAAAACAATTACATTTGTGAACATTTTTAAAAATCAAAAGAATTAGTTAAAATGGCATTTATGTTGCGTTATTCACAACATTTTTCACTCTCTGTACAAAATGAAAAGGGAAAAAAAAAAAAAAAAAGAAGAAGAAAAAAAAAAAGAAAATCGGAACTGCTTTTGAGAAAATAGCGTTTAATATTGCCCATATTTCATTAAAAAATTACAATAAAACAACTAATACTTTCAACACAAAAAAATGTCTGTCATTAATTAAAGAACTAGTTGTGTAGAAAATATTTCAATTGAAAAACAAATCCCCATCTTCAGCAATATTGATGTACGAGGGGATGCAAAATATTTAAAATTTTTGTAATATTAAAAAATTCAGTTAAAATGAAAATCATATCTAAGCGATATTTATAAATGTATTTTGCTTTATTATTACAAGAAATGTAAAGGAAAAATTGGGAGCCATTTTTGAGAAAGTTTTGAAAATGCCTCAAAGACTATGTAAAATACCTCCAAAATTGAAAGAATTTGTTTCAAATTCATGAGACCTCATGTTAGTCCAGATCAATCAACAAATATTAATTTTGGTAACATTCCTACAAATAGTTAAGCAATAGTGTTGTTCACATGCAACATATTGATAAGCAGACAAACTTGTTTTCAGTATCAGGAAACCTCAAAGAGTGCATCAATTTTAAATCTTAAAATTGATCTTCTGCAGCACTGCACAAGAGGTTCACAGCCAGACCAGACTAAGTCCATTCAGCATGACTTAGAGAAATTGAGCTTCAAAGTTTTCAATATTTCGGTGAAGTAAGAACAAACACTGTTTATCAGTATAAAAAATAAAAATTTGATTCAATACAGCAAGGAACAGAATGTAGTTTCCTTTATCATATAATCACATTATTACAATTTTCTTCAAATGTGAAAATGGTCTGTTACAGTTGTGAACCACTTGGGTACCTTTCACTATACTATGTATATTACTCTGAATATGAGAAAGTAAAAAGGCATTTTGCCAAACTTCCAGGCTGTATTAGTGACCTTTTAGTTCATATGTCTTTTAAAATAAGAATGTATATAAGAATCAATAGAAACTAGATAACTATGATTTTCAAGCAAAATACATATGTAATCCAATTGCAGGTTACTAGAATCACACGAATTCTGAACTGTTATGCAAATACCCTTCAGGGAGTGGAATACAAAATACAAGTGTTAGAAAATGAACTTCAAGCTATTAAATATCTTAGTACAGCTGTTTTATCAAAGCGTCCGCCATTATGAATTTACGGTAATGAATGAGTTTCTTCCATTGACTTCCATGAAGATAATAATAATAATCTTAATAAAAAAGAAACATTTTTAGAAAATGAAAATAGATGATTTCCATAAATCCTTTCCCGATTAACAGATATCAATTACTTTTCAAACAAGTGAAAACTCAAAAAAATTGAATTCAAATAAAAAGAGAAACATTGGAGAATAAATCAATATATTTAAATCCAAATGTTGCATATTTTTATTTTGTTCAGATTACCATACAATGATCTCACCTACAACATATGCAGGGTTATCCACTAAGTTGCTGCTACCATGCTTGTACACCAAAGACCAACACATTCTCTCAAAATGTATTCGGAATATTTTCCTAAGAAGTTACTGCACAGTACTCTGTGAAATTTTGTAAATTTTTCATGCATTTCACACTACCAGAGGACTACGATCAAAACATTTTATAACTAGTAGAAAAAAGTTAACAAAAAACATGTTCATACTTTTATCAGATCTGTCTGGATTGTTACATACACAGAAATGCACAAAGAAAATACCTAGTATTTGGTTAGAATCAGATGATTATTTACATCTACACTGTGTCAAGAATGATGTTTCCAGCAAGGGCAGCACCTTAGCTATTTACGTACATTACAATCTGCATTAATGATTTTCAATAAGGTTTTCATCCACCATGATGTATTCACAGACAATACTCAAGAAAGATATCTTTAATGTGTAAATGTTCTTCTATTACCTTCTCAAAATACATTGTTGCACTCTTAGCAAGCAGTTCCTTTTCTTATTTCTAATAAACATAATTTATTACTGTCCAATAGAGCCATATTTTCATGTTGACACATAATACTTGCAGAATACACTTTCTCAAAGATTTTACATCAAACGTCAAGGAACATCAGACTAGAAAACATGTCTGTGTAATTCTTTGTTTTGAGATACCTCTGAAGGACAGTCATTAGGTGAAGCAAATGAAGCAGCAGTCCTCAGTACTGGACAGAAGTGGAGTCAAAGTACTCTCAATTTGAAGTAGGTACATACACAATAATTTCACAATACTTACCAATATTGTTTTAAAAATGACATGTAATATATTCTGCTGCATCTGTTTATTTCTTTTAATACAAAAGATCATTTGATGTTCAAGTGCTACAAATCTGATCAGTTCTAAGGTTTGATTCTTCAATGTTATGTGGCACTAGCTGTAACGACAGCTCCACTTGCATTCATTCTAAGGATGGCCTCTGAATATATTGTGATAAACAAATGTTCACTGAATTTTATATTATTTCTCACATGAGATGAGGTTACGGTTTTCAGGGAAGGCATTTCATTACTTGAAATTTCAAAGAGTTTTCTTTACTGAGTAATGCTAAGAACATAAAAGCCCAAGAAAGCCAAAAATTTATATATTTAATACAAATATAAGCAATCTTATATGATCTCCAAAACTATCCAAATTCATAGATCTTTGAATTCAATTCACAAACTGTAGTAAATGAGGTACATAATCATACAACAAGTTAACGGAACACATCTCTTCAGGTTTATTCCTCTGCATATGTATATTACTAAAAACCCTTTTTAATTCTTGGGCATCAGACTCTGATTATTAATGACTAAATCAGGTTTAACCACAGGTAAACTAAATTAAAAAGGTACAATATAAGGAAAATGATCAAACAGAATCAATCCAGATTGTCATAAGAAATAGTTTCTTAATATAAATCTATAGATATATATTATATACAGAGCTATTTACAAATATAATGTACACAAAATAAAACAATTTTCATACATCTTGCCCGAGCAAGACAAAGACCACTCTTGAGTTCTTTGAGCAACCTTTCCTTCCTCACTCTAATGTACACGAAACAAAAGTTTACAAGTCTTCTCCTCCAGTGAGATTCTTTTACAAAGAACAGTAAAAATAAACATTCCTCTTCATTCAAGTTACACTTAATTTAAACCCAAGGCACACAAAATTTGCACTTTATACATTCCATTTCCCAAGAAAATTGAGCCAGGAAATTAATCCAAAATTAAAATAAAAATGTACAAGCAATGCAATTACAACACAATTTTTGTAACCTATCATCACAAATTACTGGACATATTCTACTGAAAAGGTAATGTGATCAGCTATATAAGACAAAAGATTTCATATGTCAATACTGAAAAAGGCAGTTTATACATTCAAGAATGGTCAATATTCAGTATGTATTTAAATAAGCTTTTTATAACATTATGCAATTTGGAAGGCATTTAAAATTAAAATCGTGGAGAAGAATGTTGATTTTTTTGTGGGTAGGAAAATTAAACAGGCATCTGTAAGCGTTAAACAAGGTTAACAGTTGAAATATTTCCTTTCTACCAATATCAAGTCTCATGCACAATTAGACACAGTAATGGACCAAACATTGTACAAGAAAGACCATTTATTACATGCATTGCACAAGTATAGCTGCATGACTGATGATACACAAGTAATTCACTGATGTAACACTGATCTATTAGATGCTGCAATACTTTTCACCACTTTTTGAATCTAAGTCAATATTGCAGCATGAATTAAGTATAAAGAACAGAAATTCACAGGGCATGTCTGACTCATTTTTTGATTTAACATAGTCACTTTTCTACAAAGCACACATATTAGCTCATAAAGGGGATAAACATTTTATTTGTTCATCATTCTAATGAGCTCATAGTTAAAATAACTATTGTGTTATCTTCTTTGTACATAGGCAAATACGCACACATTCATTCAAATATACACTGTAAGGATATGATCCTGGCAGAAGAGTTTGGACGTATAAGGTTCTTTTTACACTCCCCAAAATCAGCAATACCTAACCACAACTTCTTTGAAGCACTTAATTAATTATGTCTAATTGGAAATTGTCTGTGCCCTTAAAAGACCCAACTTTGTCTTCGCATCACGAAATGTTGGTCTTTTATCAGGGAGCAAATCCCATGCCTGAAAAACAAAAACAAAACACAATAATAATATATGTAGATCCAAAACTAACTTATCTGATACTAAGTTAAAACATCAACAAAATTGAAACAGACAAAGATTTTGTGCACAAATTTCACTGCTAGAGATATCTGTGACAGGTAAAGAATGAAAATATTAAAATTCCTCATTACAAAAACTAAACAGCAATGGAAAAGGAAAGAAGAAAAATTTAAATTGTGAACAATTTTGTCAAATAATTGTAACCTTCTAGAGCAGAGGTTCATAGAATTTGCATACCAGAAATACCACCGCTTGCCATAAAGCAGGGAAGAATGGGTCTTGCCATCACTTCTACAAGGTGCAGCTGACATAGGAGTAGGCAAGAAGAACAAGAGGAAAAGTGCTGAGACAAATATACTTCACGAATACGGACCGTCACAAGTGTTATCTGTGTCCCGAGATTAGTTTTTTCAATTCATGAAGTCAACCGACTGACCGACAGACCTATCTCTGAATATTCCGCATCCACCAACCGACCGACCGACCAACCGATCTCTGAATATCCCGCATCCACCAACTAACCGACCGACCGATCTATCTCTGAATATCACCATAATTCCAAGGCTGTCTGAAACATTTCCCAAAAGCACGCTAAAGATCTCTATGCATTGAAGAGTGTTTTAGAATTACAAATAGTTTTCTCTGATTTCCAGAGAATGAAACAGACAGAACTAAACTGAATACATCATCTTTCGAAGACCGAATGTTTTCAGATGTTTTGGAAAGGGTTGTTCGGGATCAATATGACCATATACATTAATAAAATATGAACACTATAAAAATAAATAAAATAGTAATTGGATTATTATTAATTTTCTTAAAATTATTTTTTTATTAATTTTCATAATTTTTCTATTTTATGTTTATTAAAAAAGATAAATTATGGAAAAAAGTTGAACGAATATTTTAATGTGTATTGTTATTTGAATATTGAACGATTGAGGATTGTAACTAAAAATATATGAGCTTTTATCAGATGATGCAAGTGTCAAATATTGCACTTTGGAGGTACAAAGTAAATCTGCACTTGCGATGTCGAACCACATTGTTTGTTTACAAAATCTGCTGCCTAATTCAAAAACATGAGTAAGTGCATCATGAAGTGGCTACTTAACATACATTTTAACATTACAACAAATAATATTTAACATTAATTGTAACATTGTTCTATTTTGTTTATAAAACTCATAATTTTTATTTTTTGACTTTTTGAGTAACTTATTCCCTCACCCCCTCTATACTTGGTGAATTAGGAGAGACTCACTTCATCTAACTCACCAAGTGTTGAGAAATGTTAATCAAGAAATGATACATTACTTGTTCTGGCAAACTGTTGGGCCCCTTGTGGGCCCAGAGCGCAGTATGTCAAGGCCTGCTTTAGTAGAGCAAATACAGCAAGATAAAGAATTTTAGAAAATTGCAAATTAAATTTCTACTAGAAAAATACAGATGTTGATAGCAATTTCACATAGGAGATATAGGAGAAAAGAGAAGCAGAAATAAGTATAAACTTCAAAGATCATTTAATTTTAATAACTTACCTGCTTCATGATGTCATATACTTCCACAGGACAGCCATCTGGCGCTTCCATTTTGTATCCTTTCTCAACATGTTTGACAACATCTGCCAAAGGCTGTAAGTAGAAGAAAAACCTCTGTATTTACACTCTCTGAAATAATGAATTTCTCTGTATAGTATATTTCTTGTGAAAGAAAAATATATGAGCACCTGGGATTCATTACATAATTTTGAATTATATCACATTAAAACAGTTACCACTCTTCAAATACGTAGAAAAACATTAATTGTTTTTTCTGTAAAATGTTTATACCATATAAGCAAACTTTTCGCTACCACTCTAAAAATCAACTTTCAGCATATCTTAGGTGTTGGGTTGGCTCTTGCCTTGAAAATGAAGTTCATTATGTGTTTCCAAACAAATTAAACTTTCACTGTATTAAAATTGTCAGCATCATTTAATTTCTTTTATTATGAAATGTATTAAACATACATAATCATCCGAGTAACCTCTAAAAAGTACACAATTGATTTTGTGTTATTTAGTCAAAGGTGTCATAAAAAACTACAAAACTCATTTCTTTTTAAAACCTAGCATTTTAAGTTCTAAAATTACATTAAAAATTGGTCCAACAAAAATAAAAAGTGTACATAATATGTAATGAAAATTCACAAAGATGCTTTTCACTTACTATTCTTGGATAAGGCACTCTTCCAAAAGAATAAATTTCCCACAATAAAATCCCAAAACTCCACATGTCTGATTTATTAGAAAATTTCTGCAACAAAATAAAATGATAAATTAATTGAAGCAAGAAATTGAACACAAAGAGAAACAGGGCTTCACAAATAAAACTAAAGCTTTTTAGCTGAAGCCCATTTTTGTTTATCTGAGAGAAGCCATTAGATAGTTTGTAGCAATGTTGTTTTGGTCATTTCAATGACCTTCAATATGCTACTAGCCAACGCACAGCATCTCTTAAGCAGAGCACCTAATATGAGACCAACTAATATGTGAATTACAAATTTCAAAAATTTTGCAAGTTTTAAATTTTAAACAAACGTGTAAACAGCCCAATTTCCCTCTTTTTTTCCCTCCAAAAAAATGGGCAAGTTTTAATCTGTACACAAATAAAGTTGCAATTTAAAATCCGGACTAAACTTTTCTAATTTATTGACATCATTCTATTCTTCCACAGATTTAAAAGAATATTATAATTAACAATAATTGTTGTTGTTCTTCTTCTTCTGCACTTCAGGGATTAGGCGGCTGTCTGTTCCGTCTTCACATATCAAACCATCTTCTGCGTGGTCTTCCTACATTTCTTCTTCCTGTTGGGTTGCACTGCAGCACTTGTTTAGGTAGCCTATTGTGCTCCATTCTTTCTAAAAATTTTTTCCAGTCTTGTTTGTATAGTTGTATAAATCATTTAGACTAAATATATTAATTACTTATAATCGTCATTTCTTTCTTTTTGTCTAGAAAGTACAACCTTTTACTCTCCTAAAAATGTCATCTCTTTAGCTTAAAATATTCATTTTTTCTTCTTTGAGAGAGATTCCAATTTTCACTTTCCATACAGGCACTACTGGTGTTGCTTGGTTTTATAAATTTTAAAAGCATATTGTCTTTTTTATAGTATTATTTCTTAGTGTTCTATGTAGAATGCTGCATATATATTGGAACTTATGCAATTTTTTTTTTTTTTTTTTATCTTGCTCTCAGTCCGTTCCTTATACTCACAATCCCAGATAATTGGAAATGTGATATTTGTTCTATTGTCTTGGTTTTCCAGGCATATCTTTGTTCTAATTGGATAGACTCCTTTAAAGCCATGAACCCCTTTGTTTTCTTGTTTTTGATATTTCATGTTATAATTTTTACACATTAGATTTAAATTGATGGAGTGCCATTTGGAGATCATTTTCCTTTTCATACATAATAACTTGGTCATTAGCAAATAACAGAGAATTGATATAATTATTTCTGTTCAATCTGATCTCTTGTTTTACTATTAATTTCCATTCTCTAGGAATATTGGCTATATTGATGTTAAATAATATTGAGGAAAGGCTGCAACCATGTTTTAATCCTTGGTTAGTTTTTAATGGTTGTGATTGTTGTGAATTTATTTTTATTCAGAATTTTGTATTTTTATATACACTTTTAGCCATGTTTATTAAATGTTTTGGAAAGCCTCTTCGATCCATTATGGCCCATAATCTTTTCCTGTTTACACTGTCTTTTCAAAATCAATGAATGCAATGTGCGTGTCTAAAAATTAAACTCTCTTCTTTTCTCTATTATTTGGTTCAAAATTAAAACATTATCTGTGCATGATCTTCCCTTTCTGAAGCCATTTTGTTCTTTAAACAATATAACTTCAGCAATGTATTAATCCTCCTTTGGATCATTTTACTGTAGATTTTATATGTTGTGTTTAAGAGGCTAATACCTCTATAATTTTCACAGCTACTTCGATCCCCTTTTTGAAATACAGATATTATTAGGGCTGTTTGCCATTCTTCTGGTATCGTACTTCTTAGTCAACATTGTTTGTATAGATGTAACAGTCTTAAACGGAGAAAAGTGGTTCCATATTTTAGTAATTCTACGTTTATATTATCTACACCAGTAGCTTTTCTACATTTCATTTCTTTTAATACTTGTACTAATTCTTCTATTGTTAGTGGATCAATGTTATCTTTCTTTTGTTCTTCATGTTCTT